GCTCAATGCAGGAGCTGCCCCCTGGTGGTCAGGGCACTCACACAGGGGGAGCTCTGCTCAGCCACAAGCCAGGCTGACAGCTGCCAGTACAGCAGTGGTGGTGGGAGCCTCTCCTGCCTCCTCAGCAGCGCTAAGGATGTCCAACTGCAGTTTAGGCCTGCTCCCGGCTGGCAAGTGGACATCCCCCGCTGGCAAGTGGACATCCCCGCTGGCTGCCAGGCTGCCAGATGGATGTCTGATTGCCATCTTAGGCCCAATCCCTCGGGGAGCAGGCCTAAGCCAGCAAGTGGTCATCCCCCGAGGGGTCCCAGACTGCGAGAGGGCACAGACTGGGCTGAGGGGACCCCCCCCCCCCCTGAGTGCACAAATTTTTGTGCACCAGGCCTCTAGTGTTTTTAATAAGTCCCTAAAAAATGATATGAACATTTCATTGTTGTCAAAATTTTCTTCATGATGCAAGGTAATTTATTCTTTTTTAAAAAGTATAAGGTTATTATTGTTAGTAAAATTATTCAATATTAGTGCATAGATGCAGATCCTCTCCGATAATGAATGATACTCCAAAAGTTCGAACCAGTATACAAAGTTGTAGAAACCAATCCCACAGGCAAGAATCCTTTATGGTTATAATAAAAAACAGAAGTTTTAAATGGAAGAACCTCAGGAAAGAGTAGTGGTGACTAATTTTATCCACTATAATCCAACAAGATTAATTGTGCAATAACTAAGTGACAAACCATGTTCTACGTGCTGGGGGCGAGTGTGGGTATGACAGTGATAAGACAGATAGACATACTCTACCTTATCTTTGTATAGGTGAAGAGAGATATACACAGTTAATATATAAAATATATAGTATATCTGAGAAAGATAGGCATTAGGAAGAAAACTAAGCAGGGATGGAAAGAAAAGGCTGGAAGCAGGGGTTGACAGAGCATTGCAAGGGTATAAGATCAGTGAGAGAGATTTAGGTGTTTATCACTACTTGTCTCCTTCAATGCTCTACAAAAAAAAAATGCTCACGATAAATAAACCTATTAAAAATGTAGATTTTTCATTTTTGCAGCAAAGTGTATTGAATGCATATAAATACTAAATTGAGCACACATTTTTGGTTTATAACATACTGTTGTGATATTTTATACCAATTCTTAATGCAATTGGCTTTTGTTAATGTTAGGATATATGATAATTTCAAGACTGGAACGTTTGTGCTTTATAAGAGTATGTCACGTGATTTTGAAGTCCATGTACGTCAATGGGACTGTGGAAGCCTTCACTATACTGTGTCATGTAACTGCGGGTTTGTTGCCAAAGAAGAAGGTGATGTAGTTACTTTCGATATGTGTGGTGGTCAGCTACATGAATCGCAGCCATATTTATTTCTAAAGAGCCAACATGAAACCAGCAATATCAAGATAAGTGAATCTTATTTAGGAAGAAAAGTCACAGTATGTATGATTCTTAAAAGTATTTTTTTCTTTTTTCTACAGAATTTTGATTTATTCTGAATCTATTTGCATCTCTATTAATTTAAAAACTATCATTTTCAACATTAGGGTTTTGTGGGTTTTTTTTTTTCACTAAAATACATTTAGAGTAACACTGATCTTATAAGGAGTAAAATTTTTTTCATGTACCACACACAAATAGACAAAGCAATAGTTAAAACTGTCAAACTGAACTTCCTTATTTAAAATTTCATTATAACTTGGTGGATGATTCATAGAAATATTTTTGGCAATGCCTAATAAGTGGTATATTAGCCATAGATTAAAATATATAATTAAGAATAAATATTTGGGGATAGCTAGTCAACTTTTGAAATGAATACAGATGGTCCTGCCTCAGAAATAGGCTGGTAGACATGGAAGAGATTAGAAAATCAAGAAACATCAAAGATTACATAGTCATTAATATGCATCACTAATGTATGATCAGCACACCAATTAAAGTGAGCAAATGATATAAACGTGAAATTCATAAAAGAAATAAAATTGATAAATATGTCCAAAAGTACAAATAACCAATAAAAATGTAAAAACTTCAATTTCACTAGTAATCAAAGAAATGCCGCTCCTATATTTCTCATACAATATTGGCAAGATTTCCAGAACCTATGCATGTCATTTTTCAAGAAATTTTACCTCTGAAAACTTACCATAATAAAATAATTAAGGATGTGCAGAACCCCACATAATATCCCTCCTTTTGAGAAGGAAAAGTTACAATTAATCAATGATGAATAAAAGAGTTTAACCAAAACCCCAAATATAGCAATGTCACATAATAGACCACTTTATAGTCATGAAAATTTTGGAATAGATGTGTATTTATTGACAGGAAAAGAAATTAATAAAATATAGGAAAGGTTTTCAAAGAATATGCACCAACACCCTAACATTAGCCACCTCAGATTGAGTAGCAATATGAAATTGGCTTGCTTTTAAAATAACACCATTTTTTCTAAAAAGAAAAACTGAAATTTTTAAATCTAAAAAATACACGGGACCAGGATAGACACAGTCAAGAAACAGGGTGGCATCAATAAAACAGATGGAAAATTTTAAATCTAATAAAAATAAAATAAACGGGGTAGTAAAGTCGGAGGAACAGACATACGTGATGTATTTTCAGTGGATTTTAGAAGAAAGAAATTCTCAACATGTACATCCAAGTCCCTGATCTGGGAGGGTGAGACTTCTATGATCACAGGTGACATAGGCTATTAGGATGATTCAACAAACCCCTTCTCTCATTCCAACTCCCCTAGCAATGTTCTGGTTATAATTTGGCTTCTGATTCTATTTGCCTTCTGGAGTTACATTTACATGTATAAATCAATTACTCATCAGTCTAAGTCTAGATCAAATAATTACTATCAGAGACATTACTTGGTAAACATTATACTCAACATTAATAGCTGTTTTAATTGCACAAAATGTCTCACTCTAGTTTAAATTATTTTTAAAGAGTTTAAACAAAATATCTCAATAAAAGGATCAATGTGGAAATCAAATTTCAAATCAGCAAAAGGCAAAACCCCATTATTTTGACATATAGCATTAAAAGGAAAGGTGTAGTCTAAGGAAAATCAATATTTTATTTTCCTTTTATATTGAGAGAATAAATGAATTTATTTTTTACATAAGTTTTTTCATAATCTGCATTGAATATTATTTATTATTTTTTATGTTTATCTTTATTGTTGAAAGTATTACAGATGTCCTCCTTTTTAAATATTGCATATTATTTTAAATGACTTCTTTCTGTTTTTCAGATCTGGTTTTCTTCTGGAGCATTTATCCGTGCTGATCTTAGTGAATGGGGCATGAGTCTAACAATCAGAGCCCCTAGTGTAGATTACAAAAACACTTTGGGACTTTGTGGCACCTTTGATGAAAACCCTGAAAATGATTTCCATGACAAAAATGGGATCAAAATTGATCAAACTTTTAATAATTGTTTTGCTTTTATTAACGAATGGAGGTAAGAAAGTAAATTAATATTTGACTTAAAATGAGTGATGACTCAATACACTACTTTTTTTGCAAGACCTTCCTGGGGAGGGGAGGGGATGTTTTTGTTCAAATTACTTTTCTGTTTTCCATCTGGAAGGATTTTGCCAGGAAAAAGCATGTTCGACACAATGCCAATATCTCTGCCATCGCCTGGAAAACTATCCTATTGTAGCTGCTCCTTGGACACCACTTCACTCTACCCGTCTTCTAATCATCTGGTCCATGTTTCTCAAGCAGACATTGCTTCCGACTGCAAAGTCCTCACAGGTGTCAAATTCTCTTCCTTGATACCAGAAGTGGATGTCACTTCTAAATATATTAATCCAGAAGCTCTTGTCAGAGAGATCAACAAGCATACCTCTCGAGAAGAAAATAATTCAAATTTCTTTCCTCAAGACAAAAAGCACGTGAACCTACCCAAACTGGATTTAAATTTACAAAAATATCCTAAGAATGAGAAACAAGATGTTCCAAAAACTTTGGACAATGGGATACACACACGGGACCAGGATAGACACAGTCAAGAAAAATGGTGGCATCGACAAAACAGATGGAAACGGCAAAACATTTATGAGTTTCTTCCTTTGCTTGCTTTCCAAAGTCTCAGACAGAAGGATGTAAAAGAGCTTATTTATTTTTTCCCTGAGGACCATACTGAGGATGTCCAGCAAGAGTTTGTCCCCACGTGGCCTACACCCTCTGGCCTCACGGAACACAGCACGTTGGAACTGTGTCAGCGGACTCTAGCCAACTCCAGCATAGGAAGGCGCTGTCTCGCCTTTCTTGGCAAGAGACTAGACAGTGTTATAGATATGTGCGTTAAGGATGTTCTCCTAAAAGATGATCTCAGCTGGGCAGGAGCAGGTGTGGCCCTTTTAGAAAATGAATGTGAAAGGAGAATTTTGGAAGAGGGTAAATATAACATAGAAGAATATGGCAAATCAATTGAAGACATTCTCTTAGTATTAAAATGCCCCAATTTGTGCAGCGGCAATGGGCAGTGTATGCAATGGGGATGCATGTGTTCCCCAGGCTTTGGTTCCTATGACTGCAGTGACTCACGTGGTAAGTAAATACTCTTCAACTGCAATACTGTGAATGTAATTTAATTCTGAAAATATCTTTGTTCTTTTTACCTTCAGTATTTTATCAGGGTTGTACAGATAATATAGGGTGGAAAACAAATTATATTAACTAATCCTATATGATAAAAGGCTAATGCAAATTGTCCCCTTGACCAGAAGTTCGACCTGGAATTCAACTGGGAGTTCAACCAGGGGGCTGGGCCTGCCAGCCAACTGCCCACTGTCCCTCCCCCCGGCTGGCCTGACCTGATCTGTGCATGAATTCGTGCACCGGGCCTCTAGTACATTAGTATTTTTCCAACAGTGTTGCATCTTATTCAGAGTAAAAGCTGAAGCACAGCCCTAGCTGGTTTGGCTCAGTGGATACAGTGTAGCTTGTGGACCAAAGGGTCCCGGGTTTGATTCCATTCAAGGGCACATGCCTGGATTGCAGGATCGATTCCCAGAGTGGGGTGTGCTTCTCTCTCATCATTGATGTTTCTATCTCTCGCTCCCTCTCCCTTCCTCTCTGAAATCAATAAAAAATATATATATTTTAAAAAGCTGAAGCACATATAATAGCCTGTAAGGCACAACATGATCTTGCACACAATATCTGTCAAAACTTACCCCCTGCTATTATCGTCCTCATTCATTCCATTCCACCTACTTTGTTCTCGTGTTCCTTGCAAATGCATGGCTCTCTTGACCTCGGGAACTTGGCACACAGCTGATCCCTCTACTGGCAGAGAATAAGTTTTTCTAGAACTCAAATTTAGTTTTCTTAAGACTATGTTTATATTTTGCTAATTATACTAATTTGCTTAATTTTTTCTCTAACTTATCTACATGGAACTATTTTCTCCCAATATATTAGAGAAAGAAGTTTTTAAAGTCTATTTGATTCCATTAACAGGTAAACCAATAACTCCTGATTTTCCTCCTATCACCACCATTCTTCCCTTTTTCAACTGCAGGTGTTTCTAGCTCAGTAAATGCAAACTTCGTCCCTCTCACTGCTCACATTAAAAATCTGTAGTCATCTTGCACGGCCAGTGTGGCTCTATGGTTGAGCGTCAACCCTTAAACCAGGAGGTCATGGTTTGATTCTCAGTCAAGGGCACACGCCCTGGCAGCGGCTCATGCAGGAGGCAACCAATCGATGTGTTTCTCTCACATCGGTATTTCTGTCTTTTCCTCTCTTCCACTCTCCCCTCCCCCCCCCCAAAAAAATAGGTTTCCAGTTGTTAAGTATATAAAACACAGTTTATTTTTGTATCATTATTAATTATTGTATTATTTTCCATACAAACTGTAAACCTACATTTGCTCCACTCTGTATATAGCATATATACTCTGATTTAATGGGTTTAAGTATAATAGCAGGGAATATGACAGGTAATCACATAGTTCAGTATGGTGTTCTGTGTCTTTTGATAGAAGTGCTTAGAATAGTAGGAATCATGTCTACCTGGAGGGATAATAAAAAGCTTTCAAAAGGTAGTGTCACTACAGCTAAATTTGATCCAGAAAGAGAAAGGCATTCGAGGTAGAGGAAAGAGCAGGAGCAAAGGTACAGAGGCGTCACACACACAAACATCACAGCACACCTTGGACACTGTGAGTAATTTGGTATGCCTGAAGTCTAGTGGGAGGAGGGCTGCTGCAGGGGTTGAAGCTAGAGAGGTAGCCAGTGTCCAGACCACTGAAACACTATGAGAAACAGGATAAGGTTTACATTTGAAAAAGGCTGTTTCAGAGCAGTATTGGAGGATGGACCACTTGCAGGTAAAGAACTGTGCATGTCTGAAGATGGGAAGAAGGGTTAAACCAATAACGCAAATATATACAGGAAAGACATGAAGATATTCTGACCTAAGGTGAGGAGATAACAAATGAAAGAGACACTAAAGAAGCAAATTGATAATACTTGGTCAATGATTGAAATGAGGTGTGGGTTTTAAATTTTATCATGGTTTTTCAGTATTATTTATTAAGTTGCTATGATTTCTGTTAACATTTCCTTTGACTAACTTATCCAAAATGTTTTAATGTATCAAATTACATTTTTAACATTGTTTTATATTATTTTCTTCATTAGTATCTTAATGTAATTATGTAATATAATAACATTGATAGAGAAATAGGTCTATTTAATCCCAATGCAGTAATATATAACCACAGAGCTACATTTGATTTGCTATTTCATTTAAATTTTTATGCATATTTATAAATAATATTTACTATAGAATTATGCCACTCTGATCAAATGTTTATAAACTTTTCATCTCTTTCTGTGCATTGCAACAATTTGGAAAATATTCTTTCCTTGATTATTTTGTAAATGTTTTCCCAATAGATCACCTGTCCTGAATCATTTTGGGAGGTGATTTTAGATTATTTTCTGTTTCTTTCATGATAATTATTATTTCAACTATATTCTATCACTTCTTGGGTCAATTTAGTCCTTTATATTTTATTTAAAAATCATTATTTCATCAAGATTTCAAATTTTTATTTAAAATCACATGTAGTATTCTTGTATAATTTAAAATTATCCTCATATATGTAGCTTTTTCTCTTTTCTTATGTTCAGTTGTTTAGTTGTATCTTCCTACTGTTTTTATCTGGACAGAACTTGATAAAGGTTATCTATTTGTTGTTTTTTTCATATAATTATTTAGATTTGCTTCTCTGTTACCTGTTCATAACTCCTGTTTGACTTTTTGTTGATTTGTAATAGTACTTTACATGTTCTTAAAATTATCTTCTTTATCTCAGTGGCTTGCTTTTATCTATGTTGTCTTTTTATGCAGAAATAGTAAAATTTTATGTAGTCAAATACAGGTATTTTTTATTACAGTTTTTATTTATAGCTTCCATTTCCAAAGATCTCCTAACTTCTATGTTATGCATATAATCTCTTCAATTTTCTTATACTGTATCTATTCATTATTTTATATTTTACATTTAGTTCTCAGTCCATCTGGAATTTATGTTGTGAGTTAGAGGCCCTATATATTTTTCCTCCAGATAAATAAGCAGTTATGTGTTATCATTTATTAAAATAAGCCATATTTTCACACAAATTTAATACCATGTTTTTATATTAAATTCAAATATACATTGAGATATATTTCTGAGCTTTCTGTTATGTTTTTATTACCTAATGGTCTTTTTCTATGCCAATAATGCATTATTTTGATTAGTGTGGCTTTATAATACACTTTAATATTGCTAAGGTAAATAGCCCCTCACAATTCTATTTTGTAATTTTTCAATATTTCTGATGCCTACTTTAACATGAACCCTAAGATTTTATTATATTAAATTTCAAAAGAAAACAATACATTTTATTAATGTGCATTTGCTAAAATATACTCCTCCCTTCATGTCTTCTGCTATATTTTTCATAATCCGAAATTAATTCCAATTCTTCTCTACTTCTTTCTTCAATTCAAAACCAGAAACTCTCCTAAGAAGATGACTCATATGAAGCGGTGTGGGGTGGGAAGGAGCAGTCCTTCAGGGCACAAAGACAGGACAAGAGGACACTAATTTGTCTCAGATTTTTTATCAGTTGACCTGAGGATGGATCCAGGGTCCTCTTGTTCTTTGTACTGTGATAACTACTTTGTTCTTATTTTTGTTTTGGGCTATATTTGGTACACTCTTGTTTCTCTATTAGTCTGAAACCCTATGATTTCTGTGTTTTATGAAGTCCTCAAAATTACCGTAACATTTCATTGCCCTTGTTTCTGTTTATCAATTATATTAGGATTATTTTTTATTGTTGCTTATGGTTTGTTTTCTTATGTCTTTTTCTGGTTTTGATTTGATTTATCCCTTTTTTCATATTATAAGGGATTTGAGAAGTGCTGTGCCTGAAGACACTGCAAAAATCAACCCTAAATCAACAGTAGAAAGGATAAAAGAGAAACATGTCTAGTCACTGCTTAAAATTACCCATATTCTAAAATACTAGATTTTCCATACCAAAGAAACTTTTTAAAAGAGTTACTGGATAAGGAAAATAAAGTACCTTGGAAGAGAGAAAAAATGACGACCCACCCTTACAAAGAACACACACAAAACTGTTTAATTCCTACTTGAACAATCAATAAAGATGAGGGTATAAAATCCTGTTTTGTCACATTGATAAAATGACTAGAGCCACAGTTCTTTCTTTGCCTCTCATACAAAATAGCATTTATATAATTAGCAATTGATTTTCTATAAGCATTCATTTTCTTTCCTTACCTTTCCAGGCAAAATAAGTTGTCCACTCCTCTATGCTCTTATAGGTTCCATAGCTGTCACTTTTATAGTAATGATCACAAATCATTAAAATGAGTTGCTCACATGCCTATATCCTTACAACACCAAGTTTCTCAGGGATGGAGCTGGGCTTTCTTTTGCTTTGAGCCTACTGTGTATTAGGTGGTAATAAATGTTTGTTGACTATTTCTAATTCTTAATAAAACTATTAGTTATTGTCCTCTAATTGTTACACTGTGTAGTCAAATAGATTATGTCTATTGAAAGCAGGAGTTGTGGGCTGACTCCTCATTACTGCATGGCTCCTCGTACAGTGTTATACATGCAATAGATATTGAATGAATTACTTAATATTTGATACTGTGGGTAGAGCAGAACCTTAATAAATATTATTGACTAACATTTATTTTTCCCCCGGTTATTTAGATATAAATTCTCAGTCGCCATCAACAGAGCATTTACTAACTGGTGCAAGTTTTACCCACAGTCCGGTTACTACCAAAACCAGCAACATCTCGTACTTCTCATTAAAATCAGTTACAACTCGAATGAATAATTCAAAGGCAATTTCTCATCAGATATCAGGTTTTAAACATGCGGCTCATGCTCTGAGTACAAATCTCAGTCTGGGGGAGCTAGAAGTTCCTATGGACAATCGTAGTTCTATACGCATTAACCCCAATCGCTCCCATGATAAAGTAAAGGACATTAGCCAGGGCACCGTCCAAACAGAGACAGAAGGATATAATTATCAAGTTATCATGTCTGCCCAAGGTTACACACAGCACACGGATGGGTTTGCAGCATCAGTTAGTAGAGCCATCACTATTTTGCCAGAAAAGCCTGAGTCAACCAAAATACCAACTTGTGCAGAATCGCCTTGCTTTCTGGGTGTTTCCTGTGTGCCAACCACCAATGGTCACTTCCGATGTGGACGCTGCCCCCTTGGATATTACGGAGATGGTATCAATTGTAAAGGTAGTATGAAAACTCTTCAAAGAAAACTATCTAGTTCACATTAGTTAAGAAGATATGCTATTTATTAATCTTTATTTACTCCATTTAGTTCAATAATTGCTATTTATTTTACTTATTTATTTGTCTATAGTCTTTTTCATATTTCAAAAAATTAACATGGGCATTTCTGAGTTATTTTTAAATAGTGTTAATATTAAAGAATTATAACTATATAATATAAATGTATTTATTGAGTATCTACTGTGGTCCATGGTCTATGGAAACATTCTTTATCAATTTTCTCATATAATCCACAAGGATCCCACAAATTGGGTGTTATTTTCTCATTATACAGATGAGAAAGCAGAACCTTAGAGGGCTAACTGGTTTTCCTGGAATTAAGCAGCTAAAAAGATAAAATAAGAATGGGAATAACATTGTGGTCTGGGTTCTTTTCAGCTCTCAGTATGCATTTAGCCCTTTAACTTACTACTTCTGACATATTTGCTTATTTGCATAAATGAGGTTTCTCTGTAATTCCTCCGGCTCTTGAGAATAAAGCAAATTGGGCATCACATTAATTTGGGGGGGGAAAAAGGCATTTACTTCTTTTCAAAATTATCAGCATTGTTTTCTCTGATGCAAATCAAATTTTTGGCTTTGACAACATAAAAGCTATTTCTTTTTGTTATTGTTTTGTTTTGATTTGAGACCTACTTACACAATAGCAATGTTGGAGTATTCCTTTGTTCTCAGTATTCCCTGGAGGAACTCTTATTTTTTCTGTAGGAATAATGACAATAATAATAATCTTTAATATTTAATGTTTATAATATAGAATTTATTATTATTGAAAAATAAAACAAAACAACCTCACGCATTGCAGTTTCCTCAGAAGTGTTAAATGCCTAATAATTAGAATATATCAGGTAGTTATAGAAGCCTAAGGAATACAAACCTGTAAGCTTATGATGTGTTCCTGGCATCTTGCTCTTTGAAATTCTAATTATCCTTGCCATTCACCAACATTTACCTGATTAGTACCTGACATTTCATCGCCCTCTGGAAAAGATTGTAATATAATTTCATAGATAAATGTAGTGGTTATTGTTTCAAATTAGTCAAATTTCAGAAAATTTTACTTTTATGACTAAGTCTATAAGCAACATGTACATACTGTATCAACAACTCAGCCTTTTACTCTTCATTTTTGCAGCCATTTGTAGACACCCATGTGGAAAAGGAAGGGAGTGTGTTGCCCCAAACATATGCAAATGTAAACCTGGTTACACTGGTTCTAACTGCCAAACTGGTAGGTATAGTACTCATTAGTTTGCATAATTAATTTAATTGATAATTGATATTTCTAACCAAGAGCCTTATTTTATACAGCTATATGTCTTCCTGATTGCAAAAACCATGGAAAATGTATTAGACCTAACATTTGTGAATGTACCCTAGGACATGGTGGAGCAACTTGTGAAGAAGGTAATAATTCAAATTAAAAATTGAATAATAAAACAAATTTTTAAGGATAGTTTTTCTGTATACATATTAATATATATTCATTAATGCTGGTGAGGGAGTCAAAGTTTTTAATGTTTATTTAAAATAATTTATTTGAAGATTTAAAAAAATTAAATTTCTAAAATCAGAAAACTAAAGAGCAATAGTTTACTTGTCCTTGGTAAAATTATCTTCAGGAATAATTTTTTGAGATTTAGTTATAAGTTATCAGAGCCCTACAATTATTTTACCTTCAAACAAAGGACATCTGATTATTGAAGGACTTGTCAAACATAGTTTCAAAGAATTGTGAAATACCAAATAATTAGAAGATATCAGGTAGTAAGAATAAATTTAAAGAGTGATTTTTAGAAACATGTCTATACAGACCGGCCAGCATGGCTCAGTGGTTGAGCATAGACTTATGAACCAGGAGGTCACGGTTCGATTCTCTGCCAGGGCATATGCCCAGGTTGTGGGCTCAATCCCGAGTGTGGGGCATGTAGGAGGCAGCCAATAAATGATTCTCTCTCATCACTGATGTTTCTATCTCTCTCTCCCTCTTCCTTCCTCTCTGAAATCAATACAAATATATTTTTAAAAATAAAGAAATAAAAGCATGTCTATAGCCATATAATTTTATTGTCTTAATGGAAATCTTAAGTAGAGAGTTTAGAAAATGATATTCCTAAAGTGGATAATATTTTAAAAAACAAATTTGTTATTTTAAAATTAATATATGTTGATAGATGGTAATGTAATTATTAATAAAACTAGAGGCCCGGTGCATGAAAATTCATGCACTGGAGGGGGGTCCCTCAGCCCTGACTGCCCCCTCTCACAGTCCGGGAGCCCTCCGGGGCAGGAGGCAGGGGAAGGCAACACCCCATCACACCTCTGCTGCTGCCCCTGCCGGCAGTGCAAGCCTTGGGTGGCCCTGGTTACCTGAGCATTGGGCGGCCCTGGGTGGCTAGGCAACTGCCATCTGAGGCTTGCCTGTGCCTTAGGCCGGCCCTGGATGGCTGGGGGGCTGAGGGGACTGGGGGACTCGAGGCAGGCATGTAGAGTGGCCGGGCCCACAAGGCGGACCCGCCTTGCTACACGCCTGCCTCCCCGGCGGGGCTGAGGGGACTGGGCGCCGCCATCTTGTGGCTGTGGGCGATGCCATCTTTGAGGGTGGGGCAGTCAATTAGCATATTCCCTCCTTATTGGCTGTGGGTACCTCCATCTATTCGATGGTGTGAGGGTCAATTAGCATAATCCCTCTTTATTAGATAGGATAGAGCCATATTAAATGCTTTCATAACAAGGTACAAATTAACAAATTAAACTAAATCTAGAATAAACCAACAGAAACAGTCAATATCAATAGCATATGAAAATAATTATGGAAATATAAAAGTGTTCTACTTGTAAGCTAGAATGCATATGTCTAAGTATCACTTTCCAGAAGAAAGCTAAGATCATATATAATCTTATCAGTTAATCATAAGTTTTATAAACCAAGACATGCTAATGATTTGTGGGTGTTTTTAGAGCCCGAACTCATAGTGAATCCTACAGAACCAAATTTCATAGTAAAAGATAACTGAGCTTATTATAATTTGCTCTTACAAAAAGCTTTTACTGTGGCTGTATTTTATAAACAAAAACTGATTTTAAAATTGAGAGCTGACTTAATAACATAATCTGTGTCTGCAGAATATTGTAGCCCACCTTGTCAACATGGTGGCACCTGCTTGGCTGGAAACCTCTGTACCTGTCCGTATGGTTTTGTGGGACCAAGGTGCAAAACAAGTAAGCAAAGCTCTTGTGGACTCATATAATGAAATTGCTCCTTTGACTAGTTGATGGCTTTAATGCTAATTGATATAAACCCAACCCCAAGGAAAAACCACACATCAGTGATTTATTATGACAGTTACCATTCAGCATACTACTGAGAGTGCTGGGTGCCAAAACTAAAATAAAAGTTTCTTCTTATAAGCAACTCTTTTTTTGGCCTTATTCATGACCATTTCTCCATTTTTTTTTTTAGATGACAGGAATTCAGTTTGTTGAATTACATATAAATGTATCTCATTTAATTTATGCCTGTGATTACTTTCATTAGTAACTAATAATTTTTCCAAATGGCCATTTCTTGTTTACCATTCAGCTCAATGGTTTCCTACTTCCCATCTCCATCCATCAGCAAAATCAGTAAAATAAAAATAACTTGATGTGAGAAATGGAGACCCTGTAAAGCCAATGGAAAAATTATTTTTATCTTTCTTTCTGATCTTATTCATTAAAGATGTAATAGGCAGTTATGAGCTAACCAGGTAATAATGAATAATATGACCAATTCCAAGCCCAATCTACCTTTCTTTTATTTGTGTCCTATGATCTTAGTGGTTTGTAACAAGCACTGTGAAAATGGAGGTGAATGCCTTACACCAGATGTTTGCCAGTGCAAGCCTGGCTGGTATGGCCCCACCTGCAGTACAGGTAAAATTAAAAATATTTTCAATAAATATCACTTAAAAGAAAATTTAAATGCATCAATATCCTAAAGACTTGCACCCCAAATCATAAAACTAATCTGACAAGATTGATATGAAGTTTTTATTTCAGACATATTTTTAAAAACCTGTCTTTCATCTTCTTTTTCTTCTTATATTAAACCATAGACGGTATAACAGCTTTATTGTCATCCAACCTGACCAATATTTTTTTTTATTTTTGCTTCTATATTTTCTTCATCCACTTGCCTCATGGTGGAGAGACATATCTGTGTTGCATCTTCTAGACCTCAAGTTGTTGTGGGATTTTTTTTAAATCACAGACATTCTATTTCATTAAACATTCAAGCAATTTTGAGTTAAGGGGGCACCATCAAATGAATTCATTTATCACAAAATCAGGCTTACTTCTTGGCAGCAGTGTTTACAATTATCTATGTTTAATCTAATACATTGTATTCTAGTGACTTTTTTCAACATAGATTTAATTCAACATTTGTAGCTTGCCAACTATGTGTGAAGCATAATGCAAAGGGAAACAAAGATCAAGCTGATTTTGCCCTGCTTTTAAGGAGCATATCATTAGTGAAGGAGAACAGGATTGTATTAAAAAGACTCTGATACAAGTTGAGTTATAATAAATTATGTAATTAATGTACAGTTTCTTGGAAGCAGAGAAGAGGAAAATTAATTTTGGCAAGTCATTTTGGAGGGAAAAGGGTTTCACTCATATGTGGGGTATAAAACAAAAAGCAACAAATGAACAAACAAAATAAACAAACTTACAGATACAGACAACAGAATGGTGGTTACCAGAGGGGAAGGAGGTTGGGGAAGAATGAAGAAGTAAAGGGTGTCAAGTATATGGTGATGGGAGGAGACTAAACTTTGGGTGGTGAGCACACAATGCAGTATTCAGATGTTGTATTATAAATTATACACTTGAAATTTGTTATTAACCAGTGTAACCCAATAAATGAATTTTTAAAAAGAAAAATGTAATTGGGGGTACCTTTTAAAATGAAGCAAAGGTAAAGAAGCAAAAACGACGATTGTTTTTTAGTGTGCTAAGACTTGAGTGCAGTGTTCCTTATGAATTGGGAAGGAGACTTAAAGAGGTCCACATGGCCACTTGTACTTGCGCGATTACAGACCATCCTATTTGAGCTTTTGAATTGCCTTCTCCTAACTTCTAGTCACCCTTTCAGCTTAACAAGGGCATTCTGAATTCTAACCATAGTCTTAGCTTGGTATTATTTGTAAGCTTGATGAACAGACTTTCAAAGCTATTATCCAGTTATTTTATTCCTCTTGTATTTGGCAAATTCTAACTAATTATAAGTTATGGGTTTTATTTGCAGTAAAAATAAAAAATATTTCATTATGCACCATTTTGCACTTCCATGCAGCTTTCTTTTTTTTTTTTAAATAATAAAACGTTTACGGTCTCTCTCCTTCCTGCTGTTCATTAGCTTTGTGTGACCCTGTTTGCCTCAATGGTGGTTCCTGTAATAAGCCGAACACTTGCCGCTGTCCAAATGGATTCTTTGGCGCACAGTGTCAGAATGGTAATTATTCTTTCTTTATAAATAAAAAGACTAAGGGGAAGTTAGACATAAACAGAGATCTGAGTAAATATAAAGAGACAAGTTCCGAAGGAAAGATGCTATTTTTTTTTCTCTATTTCTTATGATGTTGCAAGTTTGGCCATCAAAGGATCACTTCATAGAAACATATCAGAGTTATGATGAATAACGATTATATTTATTCAGCATATGTTAGGCTCACAACTATGGCAGTTGTCTGTGCAGTTTTATAGAACCAAGGTGTAAAACAAATAAGGAAAGTTTTCTCACAGTCTAGTATTATAATGAAATGGTATCATTTTTGTTGCCTTGACAGCAAAAACGTTTGACTTGTGCTCAATTTAATGTTCACTTTTATCTCATGATCTCTCTTGACTTCAGTTTTATTAAACATTTATGAAGAGCCAGATATGCACAGCACTATGCAAGGTGATATGTGAACATAAAAATGCATCATTTCCCCTTTATGGCCTGTTATTTTAATACTTTCCCTCATAATGTTAATGCTATGGGTTTTTCAGAATAGTGGGCATGCCTGAAGTTGTCAGTGTAGACATGAATTAATGTCAATAAGTGAAATTTAAAATGCATCTTCTGATCTTCATATTTTTTTAGCTAATGCAAAGTGTAAGGTAGATTTTTTAGTAAAAGCATGTCAGAACATGTCATAACTTAATTCCTAAAATGTATACTTTTTTTGTCCTGTTACACTTTGATTTTATTCCAATTTTTTATTTGGATGTTGGCTAGAAGTATTAGGTGGCAATTGAGGCAGAGAAAAAAAACCATAATTTTAATACTATATATGTGCACATTGGAAACAAGTTCCTATAATTCAAATTTCCTATAAGAAACTAAATAGAAAAAGAGAAGAAAGTAAATACAGAGATAAGGCAAATCTTGAAAATTAGGAGACTATGTTTAAGCCCATGTTTATGAGTTATAGATAAAATGTTAAGTGGAGAATATTAGAAGGGAAACGAAAAGCTTACATCTCTTATACTGTTAGAAGTAGATGTAAAATATAATTTTAAAGTTCTCTAAAAATTTTTTAAGTTTATTTTATTTTCTAAAATTTTTTTAAAAATATATTTTTATTGATTTCAGAGAGGAAGGGAGAGGGAGAGAAATACAGAAACATCAATGATGAGAGATATCATTGATCAACTGCCTCCTGCAGGCCCCTTACTGGGGATC